AAACTATAAGACAATAAAGAAAATTTCCATGATCTTTAACATAATGCATTTTAAATATTCTTAGCTCTTATCAGTAAATAAGTTAAAAGTTACCTGTGCGAAATGAGATTGAAGTAATGGGTCCCCAGTCTTGACGAAACTTCATTAGTGTTTCATCAAATTTAATGTTGTGAATGATAACCTGACCCGACATAAGACCAACAGCAACAACATCCACAGCTGGTGCCTGAAAATTAAATTACTCAACCTTTTATTTTCTTAAATGAAATAGCTTTAATACTTCTGATGATATGCACCATTACTTATGTGCTATTAAAAGAAATAATGAAATGTCTTCCTAAAGTGGCAAAAAAAACTTAACAAGTATTACCATTCTGGCATACTTCAATTGTTATTCAACATGGAAGTATTAAGCAATGATTTTTCCAAATTACTTCCCAGCTTTAATTCTGCCAGTCGACATTGCCTCCCCATCCCCAAAACATAGCTGACTTGCTAAGAAAACAGTCATAATAGAAAAGGAAGCTGATGTGTGAAATTGCTACAGATCAGTGACTGGACAGAAGCAGAAAAAGGAGACAACTCCTAGGAGACACATACAGACTTGTCATATGCATGGCAACATGTAGCCAACTACAAAGGAAGAACTGTTTGCCCAAGGAAAATAGGAAAAACTTATAAAACATGCTAAAAAGCAAAGTTTTATAATTAGCCTGTTCCAGCTCTAATATTCTATGATTATAATGGTCTTATAATGATCTATAATACTATGGTCTTACAACAGGCTCTATTATGATTTTCTCTATTTGAGCACATATCAATGTCCGATATCATAGAATGGAACCAGGCTGAACATTTTATTTATTTGCCATCAAGTGCCTACTCTGCATAAAAGCCTGTGTAGAAGCTGGAGATGCTAAAACAAATATGATCCCTCGCCCTCCAGGGACCTAATCATCTGACACCTTTGGAGTCTACCTTTGGTAGGCGAAAGAGGAGCAAGACTGATGATGGCAGTGAAAGAGGATGAGGAATGCATATAAATTGGACAAGTATGGACAATGGATATTTAAAAAGAAAAGGGTATATTGGCTATGTATGTGGCTAACAGAAATACAAGATTCTCTGCAGACAGACATTCATTCATATATACTTACCTTGCAGACTCAGAAACAAAGAGTAGTTATTTCTTGAAGAGACCACTATTGAATCGAACATTAGGATTTTTGCCCCAATTATTTCAAACCACAAATCTAACGTCCTGATAAATTTCTCTGTATGATCTACAATCTCTCTTGGCATTGGTGATCTACTCATTTCCATACTACACAAGGCACTGGACTACATATGCTTGCAAAACGATCAGTAAACAAGGATCCAAAACAACCACAGGTTTAGAGCCTAATTCCAGGCACAAAGGATTCCACAAACATTAATAAGCAAAGGCATTATTGCCTGTTTTCAATTACATTTCCAAAACAGTATTTCCTCAAGGTAAGAGTTATAAACAAAGCTATGTATCGTCTTTAGGTCTAAAAATATGACTGATTCCTGAAACTAAAAGATCTTACTACTAACTTTGTTTCTTCTTTAGCTCAACAGAAAATACTAACCTGCTGAAGAGCTGTTACTCCAACTTTCCATCCTGGAAATGTATACAGAAGTTTACTACAAGAAGAAAAAATAATTGAAAGTGCTTTCTTTCTCTGGAGGAAACAAAATCAACTGCACATTAATAAGTGAAATAATAATAGGTGGTATTCATTAAGTTCTTTCCTTGCACACACTATTGTAATTAAGCTCAGGTCACATGGCTAGTGTTAATAACACTGTCCATACAAATTCTACATCCCAAGCTAACTACTATATCACCACTTTAAGAAATTAAATGTTCAAGTAGAAAAAAAATATATATGAGTAAAAACCACTTTACATTATAGACTACAATGAAAAAAATCTTAAGATACAGGTAGATCTCATTTTTCACTGTGTTTCTAGAAACATCATCACTAAAGGGAATACATTTTAACTACAGTATTACTTGCATATTATATCACTGTTACATGACAATGATGCTGCTTCTCAATTTCAGAATCGAGTCATGAATGATTAAACCTTTAATAATCTCATTTTCTCTTTCGAATTTATAAAGGTTTTGGAAAGGACTATTTGAATGGTCAAATATTTTGGTTTGCTTTTTTTAATGCTACACAAAGAAACCTGAGCTGCCACCATTTTCTCTCAATAAATGTTCAAATAATAGGTAGAAGTATGCAAAATCACTTATATAACCCTCCAGCTATACCAACCAATATCATAGTAAATAATCATATCTGTGGTTGATGATGGAAGTACTTTTA